ATTAATTTCAGAGACTTATGGCCATTTTGAACCCCCTTTGTGGCCATTTTGTACTCACGCTATTTAAAATTCCATCTCGATTTAATTTTTTTGCTATACAAAGGCTCAGCATGATGGTAAAATACGTAAGTCAACAATATATTTAACAACTTTCATTGTTTTTGCTCACACATACACTCTTTAAACATAATTGAAAAATATAGCCAGCTTTCAATACAACTAAATTTGTTTTATCGAAGTGTTTATTGAAAAAATTTTATACAATTCATTTATAGTGCATACAACATCATCATTAATAAAACTCTTCTAAAAACTCCAGGATGCTCATCAAATTAAAATTTATCATGTTCGTTATACTCGTAAATAATCTATTCATTGTAAAACATTTTTAAAATTTTTCAGAAGAAAAAAACAAGAATTTAATTCGTTTTAAGTATTATTTAAAAATCCTTAAAGCATTTTTTAAAACAGAATACACACACACACATAGTATATAAACGAAAAATCTAATGACATCAATGTGTAGATTGTGTCATAGCTCAAGAATCCAGAATGATCCTATTTTTTTTTTGTCTTTGATTATAGTATTGTACTTTTTATACATTTATACATTTTCTCTTTGTTTGGAAAATAAGCTCAAAGCAATCCGATATAATATATAAGAAATAGAAAAGGATAATTTAGAAAAAAAAAATATTTAAACGAAAAGGGATTTAAAATGAATAGAATTCAGTTTTTTTTTTATTTTTCTGTGTACGTATTCTTAAAGGAGTAAAACTTGTTTAGAAACAAGCAAAGAAAAAATCGGCAAAAATATGAAAACTATTTTAAATGAGAAAAGAATTTTAGAGAAGAGAAAAGAAATGAAAGAATTTAGGAATTGAATAACTTTCTAGAAATTATTTCATGCCTGTAATTTAGTTTTTTGTGGTTTTCTTCTTTACTATTTCTTAACTTGGCTAGAAATAAAATATGCAATCATTTAAAATTATCAACTTCAAATTCTATCATGTTCCCACAACTATAAGGAAAATTTCTTATTATATTTCTTAAAATAATAAAGAGACAGAAGATTTAAATGGTCTTATAAGCATAGCCATTCATTTAAAATAGCACTTTTTCTAAATAAAAATTTTCCTATAAATATCACTTTAAAAGCGCAAACATTACTTCAGAAAATTAACATTAAAGTTAAATAAGAAATTTTAATGTGATCTGTTAACTTGGCCAAAATAAATTTTAGTTCTATTAACAATATAATTCATAAAAAATAAAAATTTTCTACGAGATTTCTTTAAAAATTATAATTGCCTTAATTCAAATCTCATGACACTTTTTCTTATCATTGAAAGTTGTATAAGAGCATCTTAAAGCAAAAGACAGAAAACTCATTTAATTAAATTTAACATTAAAGTACATTAAAAAAACTTCTTCTTCAAATTTATTTTTGTTTTTTAATGAACACTTTGCCATCACTATAGTTTTTAAAACAAAACTTTTGATTCTTTGTTCTTTGCTCTTCAGAGATTTTGTTTCATTTATTAAAAAGTTTTATGTAAAGAAAATTTTTGTGACTTTTGAAATCAATCAAAAAAAAGTGATTATTTGTACAAAGACAAATCGAATACAAAAAAAATGTAATTTATTAAGTTGTTCTTGTTAACTATAAGAAGTTTGTTAAATTCTTCTTCATAATTCATAATTTCATTACTTTAAAATGTATACAAAACTTCTCGCGTTAAAAGGGAAAAAATGAACAGCAACTCAACTATAACGTTTCCAAAATAACTAAATTAAATGTTGAAATAAGATATTGAAATGCTGAGCCATTCGAAATAAATTCAAGAGATTTAATAATTGTAAGTATCCTAATATAAAAGTTGGTATAGCAAGCATGTAACAATTACGTTTTATTTATTCGGCAAGAAATTTTTGCCTCGTGAATTCAAGTGAGTTGGCGTTTTTAATAACATATTGCTCGAATAAATATGTGCATAATATTTTCTACGACTTGTGCATAATATTTTCAAAAACTTAACCATTAAAAATCGCAATAGGAGATTTGTACAAAAATTTTCATTTATACAGATGTTTCCTAAAAGTATGCAATATTTATTAAATAAATGTCAATTTTCAAAATTATTCACAGATCTTTTTATGTTACTATACTGAAGAACTGCTTATAATATGAAATTTAAAGTAAATTCTTATTACTTAAAATAAGCTTGAATATTAAATTTAAAGCTTATTGAAAATAATTATTTTAATTGAATTTGTATATAAAGAATTATTAAATATTTCTATATTTATTTTTATAATCTCATTATCTAAATTTATTGATTTATTTTTTTTAATTGTTTTAAATACAAGTTGCTGTAGAAATATTTGAGATAAGAATTTTATTAAACAAAGGAATAAAATATTAATTTAAAAATTTTATGCGTAAATTAAGAAATTTTTCAATTACGATGATTCCGGATATCTAATTTTTCAATTAATAATAAATTACAATAAAAAATTATATAGATATCCGGAATTAATTAATTTAAAAAAAATTCTTAGAATTTGTTTTTATTAGCATTTTTTATTGAAAAAATAAATTTCTATAATCTTAAAATAAATACTTACATATTATAACAGAATTGCATGAACAAAGACCTTTGTATAAAGGTTACCAAAGCTTTGAAGCTGGAGTCAAAAATAAAATTGAATTAATCTCTTTAAAATTCAATTTAATGGCACAATTTGCAGGAATCAAAACTTCAATCATTTAATAAATTTAAATCCAAGCAAAAACTCCTTTCAAACTTTAATATTAATTAGAATTCCATATTATTTTTCAATCATAAGTTTCAATTTCTATTTCATTATAATCCTCTATATAGAATTCGAAGTATATGTATACGAATAAAAAGATGATTCCAGATTTAATAAAACGTTTTTCATTTTAAGCAGTAATTTTTTTCATCTTTGATCTCTTTCAAATACGTATATGATTCAATGCACTAATAGGAAATAATGTAGGCACATAGAAAGAAACTCTTACGATTTTTCCATATTATAACAAGAGCAATGAAAAACTGTGATATTGCATTTATACTGCATCTTTTAATCAAAGAATTATTCATTTTTGAAAATTTAAGGCTCTTAAGGTTATTGAAAATCCTATTGAATTCATTTTTCAGTATAAAAAATTTTTGATATAAATGCACCTATAAGTACGTTTAATTCATCAAAGCTGTATTATCAACAACAAAGTACTATTATTCACCATTAAAAGAAGTAATCAATTACAAAACGAATGTTTAATAATCATTGTGAATTATTTTCGCTGAAACTTTAGAAAATAAATGAAAATTGTGATAGCCTATAAAATTTAAATGTATTGTTGTATAAAAAGTCCTTCGTGAAAAAGAACAACAGTTCCCATTCCAGTAACAATTTTTACTGGTCTCATTCAATATTGTTTTCATTTGGAAAGTTGACTAATATTTTCAAATGAATTGCAGATTTTTGAGATAGGATAACCCTACTGTGGTCAATAAACTATACATTCGAAAATAAATCAAAAACCTACGATGCATACCGGTGTATATACAAGTACGAAGAACCTGAAGTTTTCTTCCATATTAGCCTTTTATTTTGACTTATCTCCTGTAAAGTTGAAACAAAATTACAACTTATGTAACGTATTGTAAAACATCAGTATTTAATTTTTTATGGGAGAATTATTATACTAAATGAACCCACAACATTTCTACACAGGACTACTACTTTACAATTTCAGTTGTAATAATTACAACTGAATATTTTACAGTTTCAGTTACTCAATTGTATCTCTACATTGTAATAACATGAGCCAAAATTGTTGTTACCGTAATAAACTGGAAATCTTCATTAAATATTCGCAAAAAAAAAACTTTTCTCTACTTGTCGGCTTCAGCATAAGAACAATCTGTTTTCTTCACATTAAATTCATGTTGTAGTCATCTACACAAAAATAAAATTAACAGGAAAGAAAAATTTTAATTCATCAAAAGAAGTAGACATTACTTTAGGCGATTTTAGTGTTCTTCTGTCAGAAATATCATTGTATTACGTACGTATCCGCATGCATATGTACATGTACCTATATACATTGAATACATAAGTAAAATGTAAGTATATAATAAGTACCATTTGTAATTTTTTATTTCATGTTTTGAAATTCTAAATTAGAAACCAACAATGAATTTATATTTTTGTTTTTAGTTGAATTTCCGAAACAAAGAAATTCACCTATGTTTACAAGGAAAAATCATGTTTCTAAAATTATAAATTAAAAGATAAATCTAACCTTTTTCATTGTTCTTTGAAATTGTGTACACACAATTAAACAACTAAAATTCAAAATAAATCAGAAAATTTTAACCAAAAAGAAAAAATTTTAATATTACAAAAAAATTCCTTACTAAAAGCACAGGTAAATTAAAATTATATTCTTACCTTTGTGTCCTAGTAAAATAATAATCACAGATTTGTGTCATAATACTGGTAATTTTTGTGATTTCAGTAAACAATTTTCAACATAGCAAAGATGTTTCTTCTTTTTACCGTTCGACGGATAAACTTAAAGTGAAGCAACAATTGCAATTTTTTTGTAAACAAATATACTCCTATTGAGAAGAGTATTAAAGGTCATACTACTTAGAAAATGTAATAGTAATTATACTTTGGTACTAGTTACTACATTATAATTTTTACCTTAATATCAGTCCGGCGAACAATTACATCTTTCACAAAAAGTAAAATTCTATTAATCTTCGACAATTTTATGAAAAGATCAGCATTATCACCTAAAAATACATACCCCTTTTTCTGATCTACAATTAGTAGTACCTTAATAATAAGAATTGTAACTGGCACTTAAACAGAGTTCTCTACTTTGTGAGAATCAAATTAACTCATTTGTAATTTTTTTATAATTTTCCATAGAATTGAATTGAAAATCAAAATTTTTAATTAATCAAACATTTTTTTTATTAATTTTGTGTAATTTTTAAAGCAAACCATTCCTTACATCTAATTTTGATTATAATAATTATATATTTTGAAATTTGAATCAAGAATCTTTATAATATTGTTGTTATGTGTTGCCATTATGTTCTTAAATGCAACTTGCACTACCTATATATTCACAATTTGTTTTTAATAAATTTGTAAAAAAAGTTATAAAATCTTATATATCTAAAACGTATATATATATATATAAATTATATATGTATATGTATATAACAATTATAAAATTGTAATTTCTACTAAAATCAATACTTTTTATCGAAAATTCCAAAAAGAAAAAATTAATTTATATAGCAAATTTTTTTTTTAAATTATAAAAAGAATAACAACTTTTTATTCAGACTTATTGATATTTTGACGTTTCCTTTCATAAAATTGCAGTGTGCTGGTACCTCCTAGTTGTTTTATTCTGTAAATAAGAAAATTCTTACTTGAAATTAAATATGTTAGACACAAAAGAACTAAAGCCAGAATTTTAAAAGTTCCAGTTTTGAAAGATATGAAAGTAAAAAATTATATTTTAACTTTTCAGAGCTCTGAAATCTGTTAAGGTTCGCATATATCTAGTCAGCAATAGAGAAATATTTAAAGTTAAGGGATATTCGATAACTCAGTTTTGACTTAGGTCGTAATATAAAAATCTTTCGATTAATTCAAAAATGCAAAACCCGCAAAAGTAGCATGTTCGAAAATAACAATTATGCTTAAAGTTCTAAAATAATTTTCAAGTCTACTGTAAAAATATTATAAATTAGAGGAGAAGCATAATAGAAAAATTGTGGATATCTGCGCAAAATTCTAAGTATGTTTGAAAAGACCTTAAAGATTTAATTTAAAATTTTCGGTGCATGTTTGAATTATCAAAAAACTCCCTTAAGTATAAAATTCTGTTACATTTTTTCAAATTATCAGATTTATTTATTGTAAATAGAATACCATAACACTGAAACGTATGTATAAAAGAGCATATATGTATGTATGTATGTAAGTTAGTTCATCTCAAAGCAAATATTTAATTAAATTGCGCAGCATAAGACCATATAGCTTCGAAATTTAAAGAATAACAACATTTGTGAATATTCACTTTAACTTACCTACTTTCTACTATTGATAATCTCGGCACTAAATGACATGTCGATTCTCTGTAAAAACATAATATCGATATAATATGAAATTTTCACAATGAAATGAATGTATGTATGTACAATCTACCTATATATAATTTTTTGACGATCTGCCCATGGCCAACTTTTTTCTAATTTATCAATCTAGAATCACATAAAAATTTTTATTTAAAATATCACTCTACTATACTATATACAAAATAAAAGACAAAGCCAACCTTTTCATTTTTTTCTTTTTTTAAAGGATCTTCAACAATTTTTGTTTTAACATTTGAATCATCTTCTACTTGCTCATCATCTTCAGCTTGTTCTTCTTCAGTTTTTAATTCTGGCATACATTTACCTGGATTCAATATTGTCATTATTGAAACCGGTTTTGTATTAGAAGTAATTTCTATTGGTGAACAATATTCTTCATCACCATCTCCTTCTGAATTCGAAATGTAATCGGATTCTGGGCTATCATCAATAATACGATTAATAAAATTTTTTTGTAAATCTCCATCAAGGCTATCCGCTTCGAAAAATTCATCTTCATCGTCATCATTATTATTTTGGCCATCATTATTTTCATTCAATAAAATATCTGGATTACTTAAATCATCTTGAGTTCCAGATTCTTTTTCTGATGAATTATTATCTTCATCAATTGGTTTAAAATGATAATCAAGATTAAATTTCTCATTATTAACAACATCTAATTCATTAATATCATTTTCATAAGCAGATACATCATTTTCAATATCAGGAACAAATTTTTCAAAAGTTTGTGAAACTGTTTCTAGTGTTGATGAAAGTATTTTCGGTATTTCAGCTATTTCTGACAATTTTCTTTGCATTGAACGTAATTTCTCTTCAATGACAGCACGGGGCATTATTGATTTTTGTGGTTGAGGAATTCCCGATTTTTTAACTTATTATATACAACATAAATTAAAACAACATAAAAAAAATAATCATATATTAAAAATTTTAACACAATTACGATCTATTCCTTTAAAAGAAATATTATTGGAAATATTAATTGTTTTACATATTTCACATTCTTATTTCAAATAAAAATTCCAAATATATTTTAAACAGAAGGAACAACAATTTCTTTTTTAATTTAAAATATTAAAATTAACCCTTTCATAAATTTACATCAATTAAAATTGAAATTTTTAATTTTATTAATTATATAAATGTATATGACAAAGGATTTACAGTATCACACACATTATTATTAATTATGTTTTATTACTCATAAAATATATACATACATATAATTATATGTATACATAAATATTCGTAATAAAATTAGTATAATATTATTGGGTTTATTAGTAGTATTTCTCATGGGAAATATTATTTAGGTAGACATATTAGCATATCTTCTAAATATTTTCGTGTCATTTCGGGCTTATCTTCGTTCTCTTTGAAGAATCTCCGAATATTTCGAATAATTCTATGATGAGGAGGTTCCTAAAAATATGTTATAATAAAAATTTAAGTCGTAGTTAGTTTTGTAATTATAATAAAACAAAAAAAAACGAAAATGTGGGAATTCTAACCTCTTCAACTTCTTCACCATCTTTTGGTAATGGCTCTGGCCACATTACTGGATGCCAAGGCTTTTTCTCAACTAATGGGACAGGGACGTATTCTACGAATCATAAAATTTAATTAATAACAAAAATTAAAATTTTAGTTGTATTAATAATAAGGATACCAAACGTTATATTTAGTTTTAGAAGAAAATTTTAAGGAAATTAATTGTTAGGTAATTCGACAACTGTTACGAGTATATGATTAGTATTCTATACACATGCAAAATGGAAATATTTTTATTATGATGTAAATTCATTTGAAAATTTTTTAATTATGCGTATATAATGATGTAAATATATGAAATGCAAAAATGTTGAAATTTAATGCAGTGCTACTGCCATTTTATTATTATATAGCAATTAAATTTACCTTTGATACGAATTAAAGTCGAAAGAATATGAAATATTAAGTAATTTGAATTTGAATGTGATGAAATTTAGAATTTATTAAACGAGTACATAAACAAACATTTACACATAAACACATTTACGTAACAAATATAACACAATACAAATTTATATATAACAATAAGTTTTAGTAATATAACAATTTTCTATTTACTTTAATTAAATTAAATAAGTTTATAACAATAGAATCAAAATTTATTTTAAATTTCATAATTGTCATATTGATATACAATTGAACTATGGTTTTATCTAAAATTTAAATAATGAGAACATTGAAACACTCCTCAATTGGCAGTAAATTATGCAAGAAAACTTCAGTGCTACACCACTAAATTTCATAATATTGAAAAATATTTGAATACCAAAATGATTACCATACGTATCGCTTATTCAATCACCATTTATTATTAATAGTGTCATTTAATAATAAACATATATACACATTCTAAGTACATGCTACAATATTTTAGTTAAACAATTGAAATTCCATACAATTCCATTCATACATATATAGTGCGCAGAAGATTTTCATTTTTCTCCCTTATACATATAATACTAAAATGTACATACAAATATTATGTAGTATAAAAGTTCTGTTCAGAGACTACAAAATCTTTTCCGCTTTGACTTGTTTTTTTTATTATTTTATTTATTGCAAATATTTTTTATAACAGCCGTGGTAATAAACAATAAAATAGTCTAGTAAAAGGAATGTAATAAAAAGAAATCATGCGAAATATTTTTTACAGTAGAGCACCATTAGTATTTATAGAGGAAAATAGAAAAACAAAAATGCTTGAATAATATTAAAAATAAAAATTCTATAAATAAATTTGTATAGGTATGTACATATGTATATAGAACAAATAAATGAATTATTATTTATAATAATTCATTATTATTTATAATAATTTAATGATTTTAATTCCACTACTTTTCAAATTGCAAATTTACAGTAAAACCTAGTTTAATCCAACCTGGACTCTTTGAGCACCTTTTGAACTTAAAATTTTATTAAAATCTCAAAATTTTTCAAATCAATATTTCGATATGAATTTAAAATACCTGTTTTATTTTCTCTAATTTTTTTAAAACAAATTTTTACAAATTGAATTAGCAATAGCAGCAGTTTTAACTAGCTTAGCGTATTACTAATAATAAATTATCAATCAACACATAAAAAAATTATTAATCACAACTTGTAAAATTAAAAATAGTAAAAATTATTTAATAAATGTATAACACCTTTAAAATTTCTTTGGAAAAATTTCGATGGAAAACTTTTTAAATACTGAAAATTTTACGTAATGGAAAGGGCTACCGAACACTTAATACGTTTTAAGTATTTTAAATAATTTTTTTCTTTTCATTTTATTTTCCGATTTTTTTTTTTTTTGGTTTTTCAATTCGACCGTACCATCGCGTTTAATTAAATCGAACTAAAATATTTTTAAAAAGCTAAAATCATTATTAGCTTATTAGCCTCAATATTTAAATAAGATTTACGCGTGTATTATATTTCTTTTAGTCATGTTTTTTGAATGCCAAGTGCCCAGATGTTTAGCTGAGTTTTAAAATAAAAAATTGATTCAAAAAAACAAAGCAAAATAAAATAATTTAAATTTAAATTAATTAATAAATCAGCGAAATAATAGTTTTAAAACATCACTTTTAATTTGGCATTTTTATTATTATTTGTGTTGTTTTTTTAAATTGTTATATTACCAAATACTTATACAAACACATAAATACTATATATATATATATATATATATATATACCTAAATATTTATGTACTTATTTTTTTTAATTTAACCACAACATTAAACACAAGATACAATTAAAAAAAATTTATTTTTTTTCATAATTTACCTTTTGGAGGTTCTGGTGGTTTCATTGGTTCTGGTACCCTCATACTAATAGATTTTTCTTCAGCTGGTTTACGTTCTTCAATTGGAACATCTTCGTCTTCCATACTAAAACAAAAATATTGTTTTTTTTTCTATATTTTACCCGTTTAATTAATTCGAAAATTAAATAAATATTTTCGAAAAATAATAAATTAATTTTTTCGTTTTTTATATTTAATTTTTTTTTTGTTTTTAAAACCTTCTTAATACAATAAAAAGCTTATAACCCGAATCGATGATCTCTCTTGCTTGAGCTAAAGACATCTGACTGGCATCAATTTCATTAATAGACAAAATTATATCGCCTAATTTTATGCCTTCATATGCTGCCAGACTATGCGGTGAAACCTAAATACAGAAAAAAAAATATTAATATAATAGCGAAAATAAAATATTGTAAAAACTAAAAACTTAAAAAAACAAAATAATCTGAAAAATCTGTTTTGCCGGCAAAATTATTTTTAATATTTTAATAAATTTAAAATCGAAATGAACAGAAATTGTAATTTTAAATTGTCAGTTTGTTCATTCATTAATTTTATTGGTATTGTAATAAAATTATTTGCGAAATGTAATACAAAAGAGAACCTAATGTGCCGCTTGAAAATCCCTCACTAATTAACTGCCCTAATTAAGTCAAATTTTTATATCACAATTATTCAATTAATACAAGTTACATTACAAATGTTTAATCGTTTTAAGTATAAAATAATCTGATGTGGCCAGAACGGTACATAACCGATTGTCTTGTACAATAAAATTATGAAAATGTTCTTTGAATTCTATGAAAGGTGGTAAGTAGCCTATCAGTTAATGAACCTTGTAAATTGTAAATTTTGTTTTTAATTAAGGTTTGCTTTTAGTGGCGGGAACTCAAATTTAAAATCGTAAGATATTCCGGGAACTTATTCTTATTTTTCCGAGGTAGGAAAACATAAAACAAAGTCAAAAAAATAAATCAGTATTATTTATTTTAATTATGTGTACAAATTTTATTTTCATTTTTAGTTTTCTAGCGTAGAAAAAAGCATTTCCGCCCAAAACTTTGCATTTGAAATTTGCATTTGGAATGGGTTCGGTAAGAACTGATTTTATACAAAACTAAAAGAGTGCATAAATTATAAATGTGCATTCTGAAATCAGAACCGCAGTGACATTAATACCGTATTAATAATTAATTGAGCTTGTAAATGCTAAATACCGAATGGTTTACCCAAATCGCATTACTACGTATTTTCGATATCAATGTAAGTAGTTGAATCTTCCTATACTATATAAGAAATTTAAAATAAAATTTTAAAACTTTCAGCAAAATCATAATATAACACTTTATAGGCAATTTCTACAATGTTGTAATTTTAATCGTAAACAATTCCCAAATATCTTATTTATTTACAATATGAGACAATATGAAAATTATTTAAGAAATTTGAAAATATTCCTCAATATTTCTTTCATTTTTTTCTGCTTTTTTATACTTTTATTTATTTATATCATGACATACATTCATATATTATTTTATGATGTAAACATTGTTGTAATCTGCAAATTGAATATTACGCCATATATTCTTGTCTAAATTTTTATTTGCTTTAATTTGTTACCACAAAACACTTGAACGTTCTGCACTAAAACATAATTTTGCAATTTAAAGAAATTATTTTTAAAGAAATAGAAATAAAAATAAATTAAAAAATAAAAACACACAGAAACTAAATAAAATAATTTTGGCAAAATGTCATAAAATAATTTTCAATTTTTTTAATTTTATTAAGCACTTGAAATACAGAATCACGTCGTCTACTCTGACGCGAACTAAATTTTAAAAATTTCTTAAAAAGAAAATATGTTTTAATTATCTGTAATATATATATGTACATATTCATGAGTACCTACATAAATAGGTATGTGTATATTATAATTGCTATTTAACAGGAAATATTTAGTAATTAAAGTCAGAAAAAAAAAACGCTGAATGCCAGCGTTGTAATTATAATATGCTTAATATGACACACACAAAAACAAAAACTTGTGTTATAAATCTAGACTGCAATATAGCATGAATAAAATTGTTCCAGTTTCAAATTATTCATGGAGAAAATATGAGAACTAAATACGTGATGTTAACATCTCTGTTAACATTTAATTAACTAAAATATTGAAAAATAATTAAAAATTTATTTTTACATTTTTATTGAATGTTGAATTTTCTTTCTCACATGTTACTTTTAAATTTTATTTATTAAAAAACACCTTACGAATAAGCATGTTAATGAAAATCACTTAATAAAATCACAGAAACTGAAAAAAATAAAAGTGTTATAAACTGGTTTAATTTCTTTTATTTTATTTTCTTCCATTCAGCAGTTTTGAGCCTTATATAAATTTGAAGAAATTTTCAGCATTATACTGTAAAGGCTTTTTCACTCTAATAAAATTCGCTCAGGTAATTCCAGCCTTAACCGCACTGTACTCCTGTTTAAAGAGTTCAACAAATTATAGAAATAAAACCCTGATTTTCTCAATTATAAATTTCAGTTAAAAAACAACAATCAAAGTTAAGAACAAAATTATTTTTTTCTTAGCGTGTGCAAGCACTATAAATGAGATTAAAAACTATGCGACAAATATTCTAAATAATCTCCTCATCTATTTAATTCATCGAAGCTTCAATATAAATTGCTCTTACAATTTTTCATTTTCAATATAATAGGCAATTCAAGTAGCAGCGCAACACTTAGCATTGTAAACTACACATAACATTTAAACTTTTATTTATAAAATCTTTAAAGAATTTTTCCTTGTTAAATTCTTTTTGTATTTTAGACGTTTTTCATCAGTTCTTCATCATTTCAAATGATTATTTTTAAAAATATTTGATTTATATATTAATTTACAAATAAAACTTTAATAATTTTTTAATTATTACATTCAATTTAATGATTGAACACAAAACAAAAAAATTATTTTTTGAATTAAATTTTCGATGTTTTTTTCTCGAAGCAAAAAAAGGCCTTGTCCGGTCTAATAATGTTTAATTACCAAGAAATTGGTACAATATAAAATTCATGTATTTTTAATTCATACAGGTAAATTTTAATTATTTTCAGAACATCAAAAAAACTTGTAATTTTTTCAATTAATAAAAAAAATTAATTTAATTTTTAAAATATTCAAAAAGCATTAAAATTTGATACCAAAAAGTTTTTAATTCAACAAAATAAAATTTTGTTGGTCATTGGTTTAATTTACTTCTGTTCATATTTTCTTGCATCCAAGAAAAGTTCATCTAGTGCAAGTTTGGTATTTATTATAACAATGCAAGGAACACGAAACAATATTAAAAGGTGAAATAAAAAATTTTCTAATTTCAAATAAAAAATTACTAACTTTGAATGAAAAATTATTGGTAGTCCAATGTTTTTTATTTATGAGTACCAAAAATTTTCCACATGGCATTACAAAACTTAATAGTTATGAATTTTGGTTGGAGTCCAGAGCACCCAAAAATCTCTTCATGGAAGATTTGGGAGGATTTATTCGATTTATTTGGGACATGGATGAAATATAAAATAGCCAGAATACAACCCTGTACAGCTAATAGAGAAGAGTCCTGCGGATTCTATCCTTTTATCTTCAGAAGACTATAAGAAACGAAAGGCGAATATCGTAGTGAAATGAAAGATTCTCCAAGTTAAGAACCAAAACTAAAAAGCTCATTTCACCAAAGCAAAAACATTTTCAAAGACTTGGAAGGAGTTCTAGAAAACTTTTTAACAAGCCATTCATAATTTCTTGAAGCTATATTCCGATAGGGCCGGATTTCAATTCTTATAGGTAGGAAAAAGGTCCATCTAATCTCTTATAATGAACTTTTTAAATAGGCACAGTCCAATGACCGAACATCCTCATGCTATACGGCGTTTCACACTTTTGCAAGACGTGCTAGCTTATCGCAACACAAGTGTAGACGTTGTACTTGTGTCTACACCTGTTTAATACCTTGAGATTTCCAATGGGGATATTAAAATAGGTCAAACTGATCGCAAATATTAATCCACAATGTATGTATTGCGTAACTGGAACTAATTCTGAACTGAAACAGAATACACTAGATTAGAACAGACTGGTAATGAGCCTTACAATTCTTTCGTAATGTAATACCCTTGATAATGATCATTAGGAAAATCATCGAAAACCAGTTATAAAGAAATCTTAGAGCAGCATACTACATAGTGCGAATAGCTGCTCAATAACACCATTTGTCAAAAACGAAACTTTTTATTAAATCTAGAACTGATGTCTTCCCAATGACTAGTTTTTAACCCATTTTTTTAATTTAAAATTTTTATCAAATTAGAACTCAGTTAACTGAATTTTTGACCCAAAATTTAACTATTTCAAAATTTTAAAATTCAAACATATCCTTATTAATTTTCCTTGAATTGATTTCAAATATCAAAAAAAAATATTTTTTATTTCCTGAATGCGATAACCCGCCTAAATATTAAATTTGAAAAAATTTTTTGGCAACTAATTTTTATTTTATTTTAGTGCTAAAATGACACGTGGCGCATAAATTTTAATAAAGGAAAAGAAAAAATTCTAAATGGTTACAGAAACATTTAAGTTCTTAGGATTTATTTAGGAGACATCAAATTTTTTTAAATTGACTTTAAAGAGAGAGAAAAACAAATAAATTTTAATTTCTTCAAGATTTTTCATATAAATTTTAAAATGGGTCATAAATGTTTTCCTTCATTTTTCTTTTTTATAAAGACATATTGCACTTTAATTTAATATCAAAGTATACAGGGTGTTCTGCATAAGGTGACAAATATTTTCAGGGCTGATTCTTTGATTAAATTTCCAGCCAAAAATTATATTGGGCAGGGGGATTAAGATATACTCGTTTTCGAACTACAGCCTGTTGAAAATAATAGGTACCATGCTTTTCCTGCATATAAATAAATGCTTATAACTTCGAAACCATACAACACAGAGTCATCATTAGGAGTTTATCTTACAGGCGATTGATTGTTCTTTATTTTTGTTTTTACAATTAATTTGATTTGAGGCATAGTTTACGAGAAGTTTTGGGATTTCTTTCAAATTTTTTTTACAAAATTTGAAATTTCCCGAAAATTTTTATTATTTTTTTTTCTGCTTTTTTCGATGCGCTACGATGATGAGATCTAAAATTTAACCCATATAACATTTTCTTTTATCTCTCATAGTTTTTCCAAATAATCGTGTTAAATGAAGCAAAAAATGCATATTTTTTATATAAATATAACACCCTGTATACGAATACAAATAATAAATATAACTAGATACTATTCTGTATCAATTAATAAAATAAAGCCAAGAATATGTAAAAAAAAATTTATAAAAAAAAAATTGCTTGATTTAAATTGCGTAAATCAGGTGCATTTAACTAGTGAATTACTTCTTATAATTAAAACAAATTGGCGTTACCACCTTGTCAGACCATTTCTAAATAATTATTTATGCATGTTCCTCTTGTTAAATTTAATTTTCTCCTACTCATTTTATACTTTCAGCATTCATTGCTTTACTTACGGTTAAATATTTTTTAAAAATTATAATTTAATTATAATTTGCAATTTTAAAAATAATTTTAGAATTGAAGGCGAATTCATAATGGGTTGTGCCAAAAATATAACAAAATATTTAAAACTTCAAGTATTAATTTCCAATCACACAATCAAATAAATTAAAAACTTAAGCACCTCATAAAAAATCTGAAGTGGTCAGCACATAACCGACCGCAAGGTATGTCTAGTTTATACAAAATGTTACACAAGATTATGAAAATGACTTTTCTATCAGATTTTAAGTACTACCGTAAAAGCCTAGTAAGTTTTAACCTAGATCTTCAATTTAGCTTTTAGTAGAGTTTCACTTTATGCCATACGAAATTCTTGAAAAGTTTTTCAGTTAGTTCCGTTAACAAATTCAAATATTAAACTTCAAGGAAATTTGTCAATTATTTTTCTGCATCTAAATTTGGTCCGTATAGTAAAAGTCCAATTTCTAATATCTTATTTCCACCAAAAATTAGGTGATTAGGTTAGGTAACATTTCAAGTCAATATGTTGAATATTGCCTTTAAAAAAATGCAAAATCGGTTTGTAGTAAAGACTCATATAGGTTCACGTGGCACCTACCAAAACTTAATCAAATCGGCTATCTTCAAAATAAACTCAAATATAAATTTTCGTTCAAATCGGTTTAGCCGAAGTTCAGATAGAAGACTGCATAGTCATACTTACAGACATACATCTCTCTAAAAATAATTTATTTACGCTTCCTTATCATCTAGAAGTGCGTTTGGACCGAAAAACCAACATGTGAAATTTGGTGGCATCAAATAACCTCCCTTATATGCAATTTGGTCGGGAATAAAAAATTTGCCAGATATGATACTACTGTTGAAATTTTTTATTCAAAAAGTTTTAATATCAGTATTACAGAGAAGACTTCCTGAAAATCGTTATCTCAAATATGATTTTTCCAAAACGGAGGAAACTTGTGAAAGTTTTGAGTAACAGCTTTTTGCATAAGATATAAAATATGACAGTTTTCACTCTATTTTCATCATTAATATAAAAATCAACTAAACATTAAGTTACCAGGTTTTTGGAAATTCAATATTTCGTAAAATAAAAATTTTACCTGAAAAACTGTTAATGGCATATGAAATTCTGAACCTCCAGTTATATTAAAACCCCATTTTGAATCTTCTGGTGCTCCATAAACCTCTGATTGTTCACTATCAAATGCTGGAAAACCATCTGAATCACCAATACCACATGATAATTTAATAACTGGTTTACGTAATGGTTTACGCTTTATTAAGTTAGCAAGCATCGAATCCATTCCAATCGGCATTTCGTTTTGTTTATTTAATTTTACTTATACTATTAAGAAATTATCCAAGTATATTTGTAATTGCTCAAAGTATATTTGAAAGAAAATATTATACGGCTAACAGATTTCTGCTTTTTACAAAAATCTTATTATTACACTAATTCCAATGCCGTCTTATAATCCACAAAAACAATCTTTATAATAAATTGACTTTAGTTTTCGCGCACTTTTTCATTTTCTAAAAGAAAATTAAACAAAAATTAAAAATTAAAAACCAATGAAAAGAAAAACAATTTAAAAACACAATTTTAATGAAAATTTAAATTAGAATAAAATTTTTTAATTTTAAAAGAAAAACAAAAAGGAAATACGAAAAAACAAATACAATAAATTAAATTTGAATTTTTTTCTATTTTTAAACTTTCTATTAATTTTTATCAAGAATTTTTTTTTAATTCAAAAGACTGAGTTGAATTTTTATGATTATTTTATCAAAAATCTCAATAATTTTATTTTCACATTTTTATGAATTTAAAATCAATTCTTATTTAAATTATAATTAATTTTCAATCGATCAATTTTATTAATTAAAATTAGAAAAATAAAAAGTATCTGTGATCGGGCATATTATATAACACCTTTAGTTTTATAAAAACAATTTTTTCACAACTTTCTCAACAGTCTTTACGAAAATTATCAAATCAAAATTATTTTTATAAACTTTTATTTTTCTCATCAAATTTAAAATTGATAAAATCTTAAATAAATATCTTCATAATTTTCAAATTTATAAAAAAAATTTCCACTAGCACTCACTCACTCGTAGAAAATTTTATTTTTTCTTGCTCAATTTAAATTTGAAAAAAAAAAAAAATTCAATGATTCCTAATGATGCAAAGGTCTAAGCGAATCTAGTAAATATGTGCTTTTGCAAAATAACAATATTTTCGTAAATTTTAAAATACTTAATGATTTTACAATAATATGCACATGTGTATTTTATAAACAAAACAGCAAAAAAAACAAAAATGCATTCAATTGCATCACATTATCAAAATACCATCAAAATAATTTTCATGAGAAAGAAACTTTCATTTACAAATCTAAATGCATAAACACTAAACTATGAAGTAAAAAAAAAGTGCAAAGAACAAATCAAGAGATTTAAATCAAAAAATCAGCGAATTTTTTTTGTTATTTTTTTGTTACTTTTTCCTCATAGATTTCATTCGATAAGTGATGGATTATTTGCGGAAAAATCAATGCAAATTATTTTATATTGAGAGGATTTTTTAGGATTTATAAATAAACTTCGTTATAGAGAGTAAATAAATTAATAAAGAGGAAAAATTCAAAACGGAAATTTTTTTATTTACAAATATTTCGTATGTATATAAATTTGTATAGTGTGTTTGTTATGCATGTATTAAGGAATCGAAAAATTGATAAGGGGAAAAACGAAGAAAAACTATAGAAGCGGAATCTATATAATTTCTCTGAATGGTTTATCAGTTAAGACAAAAAATAAAACAAATAGAAAAAATAAATTTCCATCATGAGTAATGCCGCATAATCATATACCGTTTGCTATTTGTTTTTCATTCATTGAAGGTAAATCAGGAGTTATAACGAAAATTCTTAATCAAAAGAATGATTCTGCTAATGTGCTAATGCATAGGAATTTTAACGGCATTAATAGAGATCTTTGACCGACAATGTTAACTGTAAAAGCAGTCAGCTGAAATTGTGAATAAATCACAAATTTCACACTTATTTAGCTGTTAGCACGAACGTAATCAACTGCTCTTAATATTAGGCTCATTTTGCAATTAACCTGTAAATAACTTTTCCGTTCAAGGGAAAAGAATTCATATACAAGTTCTTAATTTTAATTGTGTTTAATTCTTGGTTTTTATTAATGTCCATAAAATTTTATCAGAAAAATTCAAGTTTTTAGTTATTTGTTGTTATTGGTTTTAAAATTAGCCTTTAAATTAAAACATTGCCGTGCCATATCAATATTAGATTTTTTTGCGTACAGAAAGTCAGAACCTTCTTCATATCATCTTTAATTATTGTATACAATGAAACCGGCATAAACAGGCTGACAAATTATAATTACTAAGTACCAAGTAAGTTATGTCACTATTACCAAATGTTCATTACGTCATTGAATACCTTACTTAAGTGCTTTTATCATATTATTTTTTGAAGTAATTGAATACTTGAACGGTAAGTTATTTTAATTCTGATAATATTCTATTTACTGTAAAATTTTACTTAATATTATTTGCAATTTTTCATGATTACACTACTTTTAATATCACTACATAGTTGCGTATTTCAAATTTACTTTAAAAAACTTTTAAGTCAATGGCCTCCCTTTTACTCATATTGTAACATTAAACTTAATCATAAACATTATAAAATCATCTCTCTATCAACTATGCGATTTTAGTCGAATTCAGAGATAGCCCTAAATAATGAATTAAAATGGGCTGGAATAAATTCTATTTACTTTTATTTTCTTATTCATTTTCTTTCGTGTTTACTCCTAAAATAATATAATCTAAATACACACTTATATACACTCTTTAATTAAGTATACAAAATAGCAAAAAATCACTTTATAATATACAAAATAATAATATTATATTTGATTATTAAAAATTGTATAAACATATATGTGTATACAGATTTGTATATAGTTCTCTATTTTTTGTCTCATTTGTTGTGTAGTTTAACGGTTAATTTGTTTTGAATTCGTGTATAAAATTTATTTGTTTTTATATCACTATGTGAGCATCAATATTATTGTTTATAATACCATTAAATGGCAGGCAGAATACAACTTGAAGTTGTTGTTGAAATTGTGAACATGGTTTTGATGTTTTCTCCTGAAAATTAAATGCGAATGGATAGGAACCGTTCCATTTCAAATTACTTTACAAGGCACTGCCCAGGAAACAGTCACCTGTATGAGTTAGGAAAATGGACAATGGCGAAATTATTATATTCTTTGTGACTGTCCTGAACTGGCGGTTCAGTATCGCAATTATTTCGAATTCCCTAAGCATTTATCTACTGTTTAATTCACTTGGGGATATTCTCAGGTTTTTGATTGGGACATAGATGCTATAATCGGGAACATAAGTGGCTACAAAAGGTAAAATAATAAGTAAGAAATCTACAACCTACAATATGAACACATATATAAGTATATTCATTGGATTTATGTACATATTGGCATACATAAAGCAAAAAATAAATACAGAAATCTATAAAAAGCTCTCGTTATGTCAATGAAATATTTTCGATTACAATAAAACAAGGTAAGTGGCGTGAAATATATAGCAATGAAATCCTATAGCTGCTTGGAACAAATTCTTTCCCTTTTGTTTACTTAATAGAAATCAACTTTAAGATAATTTTTCGGGTTAGTGATGCTTTAGATTTATTATACATACAGCGTGCGTTTACATGCACATACATATGCATAGTACATTTACAAACTTACGAAACTATCTATTCTATTGGTATTATGTACAAATCTACCGTATTATGTAAACACAAAAATATAACAAAAAAATTATTAAAGCACAAGCTTTGGTAAATGCTTAAAATTTCCTAATTGAATTTATTAAGAAAGATAAGGGAGATCAAAATAATTAAGATAATTAAGAAATTTGATTAAATTTGGCAAATGATATTCCGATTATGAAATAAATATATTTTTGTTTTCCTTTTAAATTATAATTTTCGTAAACTAGAATATGAATATCAAATTTTACAATATTAAGAAGTAAAATATTAATGCAAATTCTTTAATTGGATTATAAATTCATAGAATTTTAATTTTAATAAATTCTTAAATTGGATTTTAATTCATAGAATTACTCATAGAATTTTGCTAATAAGTGAATTATTATGAAAATTTCAAAAATTTAATATCTTTTCCACTCATGTAGTTGAAAACATTCAACATTGCTCGATTTGGATAAAATGTTAAAGAAAAGAAAATCACTTAGTTTTACAAGTCAGTCAATTAGTTATGTTACCACCTTGCAACTAAATTCTATATGAAATGCACAACGTAAACACTAATCTAGTCAATAAAATTGATTTCCCCCGCACATTATTACACTTAAATTTCTCAAATAATACCAACACAATTAAATTTTATTTACACTAATTAATGAACGCAATTAATTTTGTTGTCAATCAAGTCACTTATGTTAATTTTCCGGTTTTAATTGGGTATTATTTGATTCTCATTTTCATTGTTTTTGCAATTTTCTTCAAATATTATGTGTATAAGTATTTTATTTCTCAATTGACTCCCGGAAAACTTCAATACAAATTGAGATTTACATCTTACCCATTTAATTCAAAAAATTACAATTGCATTTTTAGTTAGTCATCAGTCGTAATCGAAATCACTAATAAATTAGACGTGTCTATTATATTAAGGTAGACTCTCCAACCTACATTACTCAATTAAAATTAAATTCATATTTGTAAAACATTGTAATATTAATTACCTGAAAATGGTTGTTGAACTGAAGATGTGTCGATTTGAAGCCTCACCTTGGGGATTTCGTTTAGTTGGTGGCTCTGATTACGATTATCCTCTAACAGTAGTTAAGGTAAGAATAAATTTTAAATTTCAGTTACGTCATAATAACAAAATAATTACAGGTGTTTACTAATTAAATCTCATATATACATTTAAAATGTATAAATAAAATTAATTTTAAAAAATTAATTAAAATTATTTAATTTTTAGTTGAATTAAATATTATAAAATAAATTAAAATTTAAATAGATTTTTTGTGGAAAATTAAGTAAATTACGTAAGTCAAGTGAATTTAATTTTTTTTTTCTATCTTGTTAATTGCTTAACACACATTGCATAGGTTTCGGTTTGAGCAATTTTTGAGAAAAAATAATTTGAGAAAAATGTCACAAAAAAATTTTTGAGAATAATTAAAATTCCGAAGTCTCCGATAATGTCAACAACTTTTCTCAAACAACAAAATGGATGTCATTTGTTTACTACTGAGCAAATGTACACAATGAGTAAACTCAAATGAGCATTTATTTTATAAGACAATAAAATCAATAAAAACAAGAAAACAATCTCTTTATAAACAATTTTTATTTAGATTCATAATGAGCATTGTTATCAAACAATATTTATTTCTCTCTTTAAAAGCCGGAAAACAGAGAAAATTTAACAATTTTATTTGTTTATAACGCTTTTAAAATTACAAAATAAAGTTAATGAAAGTATCTAAGTAATAATTCTATCAATTTTCTAAAAATAGGTAACACCAGATAGTATTGCCGAAAAAGCAGGATTACAAGTTGGTGATATAATAGTTCGAATAAATGATATTTCGGCTAGCCCTTTAACACATAACGAAGCTCACGATGTTATTTTGCATTGCGGTAATACGTTTTTCTTTGGAGTAAAACGTGAAACTGAAGATCATCCAAATTCAGAACAACAACAAATGTCAGATGAATATGAGCAAAATGTTGAAGTAACATTACCAAGCCCAGAAATTCGACAAAACCCTGAAGATAATAGTGTTAGTTTGAGTATAAAAGTTAAAAGCCCTCAATTGCAAAAGCAAAATGCAATCGATGAAGAAGAGCGGCTCGAACAAGAAATTGCTGAAATTCTTTCAGAAGAAAAAGAAGTTTTAAAAGAGCATAATGTTGTTGGGTAAGCAAGCAATTAAATATTTACATAATCTAATTAAAGAAACTATAATGTTAATTGGTTTAGAGTTAATTTCTACAGAATATTTCCAAAACCGGGAGTATGTATGTCTAGCAAAGTTTTGCGCCAACTTAATGAAGATGCTACTAAAACTAGAGAAGAAATATTGAAAGAACAACGTCGCTGGACTACATTTTTACAAAAGCCCAACAGACCAGTTCTAAAATCCAAAGCTGAACTTGAAGCCGAACAAATTAAACAAGAACATCCTTATAAAGTTGTTATTCAAAAACAACCAAAACCAAAAGTAGCACCAGATCGTGTTCCGACGCCACCATGGAGAGAGGTAATAAGCACTTACACCAAAAATTTTTTAATTTTTAAAGCAAACAAAATTTAGTCTAGAAAATAATTTTTAGCCAAGTCCTGAACCCGAACCAGAACCCAAACCTGAATCTCCTGTTGAAGAAGTCCCTATAGCCGATTCTGAAGTTCCTGATTTGATGCCCCTTAATAATAATTGTGATGAAAATTCTGATGAATCTACAACTGCTACAAATGATGAGCAACAAGAAAACAAACAAGAAGAAAATGCAGATGACACTAAATTAAATGAGGAAATAAATAAAGAAGACAAAGAAGAAGCAGAAATAGAAAAAACTGAAGAAGAAATATTGTTAGAAAAGCAATTAGCTGAAGTTCAGCAACAATTGCAAGCTCTTTCTAATCTACCAAATACAATTCAAGCAACACTGGACGCTGTAACGAAACAATTAGCGGAACTGTTACCTTCAATCAATTCAATTAAAAAGCATTCACCAGTTGATATTAGTCAAGTACCAGACAAAATTGAAAAGGTTCATCTTGAAGACCAAATTAAATTGGGTACATAAATATTTTTTGTTAATTCTTATTTCGCAAATTATTTTAATTTTAAATTTCTTTTAGATTTAAAGCCAATTGAAGAAGAACAAGAAGAACAACTTGTTAATGAACAACCTTCAGAATATGAACCCAATGAAAGTTTACCATCTATTGAAAATGAACAACAAAATAAAGAAGAAGAGAATAAAATTGAAGAAACACAAACAGAAAGTAAACCATCATCCGATGTTATTGATTATAAGAATATTAAGGAAAGGGAAGAAAATGAAGCTGAATTGGAAAACATTAAATGGGATACCGAACAACAGAAAGCTAAAAAAGAAGAACAATTTGTTAAAAAACAAAAGGTTAATCTAAATTTCTGTTTCATTGTTAATTACAAGTATTTTTTTTACATTTTGCAATCTTCAGTTTATGAATATGATCGTTGAAACTTTGAAAAACTCCTAAATTATTCCGAAAAAGGATTACCTATATTTTTCGGAACACTTTCATAATTTGCTCAGAGTTTCTTTAAATTTCACTAATATTTTTAGTGAATTAAGAGTTAAGCAGAATTAATTTGTCATAAATTGGGGATAAGTGAGAAGCTTCGTTTTAATGTTTATTACAAAAAAAAAAAAATAGAAGAACGTTCATTGTTAATCAAAGAAAAAATCTATTGGATTTCGGATGAAAATTTTAAAACAATTAATTAATACAAATTCTAACTTTGCAGATGGTTCGTTTTAACATCTAGTTTCAAAAATCCAATGTAATTGTATTTTTTGGTGTGCCCATTTTTTGGCCATACCCGATAATTTTTAATAATTATTTTGAAGTGTAATTTCAATTTGGAACGACGATTTATGGACAATTCTTAGTATGCTATTTAATTGGTACTCATATACATAACTACTACATATTATGTATATTTTTAAATTTCAAAACTATTATTTTATACTTCGTTTTAAAACTCTTAAAATATTTTTTACAATTTTACTTTATATTATGTGATTTTGATTTGAAAACGTGTTGTTTAAAAAAATGTCAGTAGCATTCATTTTTTGCAATTATTTTCTAAAATTTTTTTCATTTTAATAATTAACCACATACATATACATACAACATACAAAATAAATACATATATACTCTATATTTACACGTATATACAAATATATATGTGATAATGTAGGAAAATAGCTTAATTGAAGAGCTGCAACAACGTATTTCTAATATGGATCATATTGATGGTGGTGGTGTTAAAAAGAAACGTTCAAGATTATTTGGACCATTAGTACCATCAACTAGACCTTTAATATTACCGGGTGGCCGTAAATGGCGCACTCCAAAAGATGCTTTTAATGAAGAATTTATTGCTGGAGTACTTAGTTCACAAGCTGAATTGATATCAGGCAATGCAATAGGGTAATTTTCTGATTGATAATTGACTGTTTAAAAAAAAAAACCCTATATTTTCATATTTTTTTTTTTAAATCCAATCATTTTTTATATTAATAATGCTTTTTTATAAAAACATATTACATCTTTTTCGCATTATTATTATTTATTTTATTTTTAATTATAAATCTCATTATTTCACATCGTCATCTAAACGTTCGTTATTCGATGTATCATGTATAATTGTGTAAAGACCAACATACGAAAGTCCACTGTTGGGCTATGATGAAAGGTAATCCAACTATATAGTTAATTAAAAATTTGACAAACGCATTATTTTCATTTTCATTTATAATTTATCATGATTTCTTTTAATTTTCCATTGAATTTATTGAGCATGGAAATTTTACTGTTTAGTTTTTATTGTAACGTTATTATTTTAATAAGATAATTATTGCCTGAATGATATTTTTTAAGTTTTAATTGTTTTTTTTTTTTTGTTCTTTCTTTAAGACTATAATCATTAAAATATTCATTCAAATTCATTTTCATTTCTCATAATATAAACATGCACAAATCATACTCACATTAAACCAGAATTTTATTTTTAAAGAATTGGTTATATTAAGGACATTAATATAGAAATATATGTACGTTTAACTTGCCAACATATTGTTGCACACATAAATTACGTGCAACAATTTACTTTATTGAAGAATTATTATTTATTCATTTTTTTCAATTACAATAATAATATATAACAGAGATAAAATCGTAAAAACAAAAATATTGCCTACATTTAGGATCACAAGTATTACCAAAGCAAAATTTCAAAGAATTAAAACAACTACACATAATACGATTACATTTTTAAATTTAAAAATGGTTAAAATTAATTTTTCCCCTCCAACTGCAACTCTTGAATTTAAGAGTACAAAATTTTATAATTCTCTCATGAATTAGACATCAACATCATTATCAAGTGTTAGTATGGTAAAAAGACTGCCTACATTTTGATTACAAAGTATTATGACGAGTATAAAAAAAATACTCATTTTAAATAGATTTAATTTTAAAATTCATGATTTTTAAATACAATACTAAATTAACTGTATATATACTGCACAAAAATTTTCATTTAAAATTTAACATTTTTCATATTTATATATTTTTTTTTAAATTTCATCACTATATTTTTATAATGTTCATTATTGTATATGCAGTAATACTAAATTAAATCTGTTATTTCACAAACCGACCAACCTGTTGAAAACTTTTCATTTGAACATCCTTTTACTTTAAACCTTTTTGATTAGGTATAATCTTTATAAAAGAAAGGATGTAAGATGAAATGCAATGTAATATGTTCAAAACATATGTATAACAGTTTAAAGCGAAATATAGTATTACTGCAAAATCATATTATAATTTGTAATTGTAGCTAACAGTTGTTAGTTGTGGTTTTTTTTTTTCTGATTGTCTTTTTTTCGAATTTATTTGTAGATTGAATTGTGGAATCGTCTATTTAATGGAGAAGATGTTTCACGGAAAACTTTCAGGTAGGTTTAATCAAAATTAATGTTATATACACTATTTGTAAAAACAAATTATTGTTATATACTCTATTTTGTACATTTGCAACAATTTATAATTAATGCAGAATATTTTTTATTTTATCAAAATTTTGTTATAACTACAAAATATTAAAGGAATATTAATTTGTTTCCACTATCGCGGATGATATTAATTGAATTTAATTATATTTAAATTCAAATTTCTAAGCTTAAACTAATAAAAACAAATTTTACACTAATAATTCAAAAATATGACAACAATAAAATTGTAAATGCAGAGATTACCAATAATTCTCAGAAAGCATTAAAAAGGTTTTAGTTATATTCAATTCAATTTATAAAATATTATACTACACTATTACTACTTGTACTACTATAATTTGCCTCCTGTATTGTATCTAGTAATAGGAAATATAAATTAATTTCTCTGAAAGGAAAAGAAAACCGCCGCAATACATTTTATCCTCTTTTGTAAAATTTTAATTTAATTTATGTATTTCCTTTCAAACAGTTTTATATACAATAACTACACAGCATCATATACACATTTTGTATACATATATGTATGGAAAAATTAATTTTTTTTTCTTTTTGCGGATTAAAAGAGAGTTCAATAGTGCATCATTAGTTATTCAATTGGAAAGGAAGTAAGTATAATATAATCTCATATTTTAATCACATTGAATTTAAATTGAATCTTTAAGAAAATCAAATAATAATCGGAAGTGCATGGTGACAAAAGCTTGCATGATTTTTATTTTTTGTTTTTATCATATTATAATTTTATATTTATTATGTAAAAATAAAATTTTCAATTCAAAATAATTAAATTAAAAATATGTAGGCTAAGAAACTATAAAAAATATTTATAATGCTACAAGAAATACAATGTTAATAAATTTTTTATATTTAATTTGTAAAATGTAGAGTAAACTTCATGAAATATCAAAAACCTGAAAAGAAAGTTGACTTGGACAAAAGTGAAGTTTTTAAAGTTCTTCACAATTTGGACAAAAAACCAAAACATGGTATTGAAGTGAGACCACCAATTGTACCAGCTGAAGAAGATATCAGAAATGTAATTCTAATATTATTAAATAAATTATAATAAATGTTAATTTGTTCTGTTTACTCTTTAAGGTTGCTGCATCATGTGGTTAGTTCATCAAATTTGAAAGATTCATTTTCGAGATTTCATCATATTTTATCACACACCGTAGAAATGGTTTTTTTTATTTATCTACTTATACATTTTGTTTTAAAATTTTCCAAACATGTATTGTATACAATCGATTCATATAATAATAATAATCGATTATTAAAATTTTTATGGATTTTGTATATTGTACTCTTTTCTTCTTATACAATAAGATTTATAAAGATCAAATTATATAAAATACAAAAAGTGTTCAATTATACATGCAAATTTTATTAAATAAAGTTTTTCGTACCGAAAATGTGCATAAGTTTTCTTGTTTTTTTCTAAACTATTAAAGAACATTCTATTCGGAAATATAAAAACCGGTGGAGTCCATGCAATATTATATGATTCTTTTACCCGTTGCGTAAAAAAAAATCGTTCTTTTCTCTTATTTTGTATAAAATCTATTGGTTATGTAAATTCACCATAAAGAGAAAATAACGACAAAATTTTTAATTCTTTATTGATCAAAAAAATTTTTTGAAATTTGAAATGAAAATTGTTTAATTATTTTTGTCCCCCGAGCAGTCTGAGTATATTTTCACATTTAATGTAAATTAAATCTTAAATAACGTTGGAAAAATTTTATATAAAAATTTCGAATTTTTAAAAGATCTTATTATTCTTGATCTTGTTATTGCATCTTATTTTAGAATGAAAATTTTTAAGCCAATATAGTTTTGGTCAACCCAAGCTGAACCTTATGTAAAAGACTTTCAAAATATTACTATAAATACGCAATATACACAATGTCATGTTTATCTTAGGATATTTAAAATAATAATTTTATTATTATTTACCAGAATTTTTATTAATTCAGTTTTAATAAAATAGGCACAAAGAGTGGTAAACACAAAATTTCTAAAATAAATTATCACTTATGTAATATGTGAATTATGTAATGCAATTCAATCATTTGATAACCATTTCAGTTGTACTGCCATAACATTAATTTATGGTTACTGATATGAGCACTCTGTTCTTCTTAAATATACCTCAAACATCTGCCTGTAAATCAAAAAGTTTACTTAAGATTTATTGATTTTAATTTTGTAGAAAAAAATTGAAAATAAGTGTAGCAATCTATACATGTAATTAAGTAATCCTTAATTTTATTTAATAGAAAATTTTCCTATCAATTATATATACATACATACATACATACATACATATATATATAGATATATACGTATATCTTGTTACAAATTAGGTGGCGTTCTATCAACAATTTACCAATTAGTTAGTGAATTAAAACAAAAAACAAATTTGTTGATTAACCGAATTTTCCTGAAAGGAAAATAAATAAATAAAATAGTCGAAAGGTCAATGTCTAACCATAATGCATCATTTATTTTATATACTTATTCACATTATTTTTACTAGATTTTTTTTATAAATTACGTTGATTTTAATATAAATAGAATAAAACAAAAGTAAAAAAGCATTTGAATGCAATTATAAACCTGAAAACGTAAAATAAAGTGTCAATCAATGCCATTAACAACAACATTTCAATGGTATGAGATTATAAATAAATTGTAGGAGGGTAAGATATTAGTTTGAGGAACAGTTAATTATTTTTTATATATATACATGCGTATTTATTTTTTAAGATTCTAACATTGAAGATTTTTGCGTTTCGAACTTACGTATTAGATTAAGTGAAATTTTATTTTTTTAAAAAACAGGGCTAGACAACCAATTCTTGTTGGTCATTTGTTCATTATGAGAACTCTTATGTAAATGAACTCTTCATTTTACAGAACTATGCAGATGTACTACAGTGACTATACAAAATCTGCATGCTGAAAATCGAATTCAAAAGCTAATGAAATATTAATGCAATTTCAATTACTAATTTTAGACGAATTTCGGCAACCTCTGCCTTTCTTTTCAATTAAAAAGATGTACGAATTCTTGTTATATAAAGGCTTAATTTAAATTTTTGCAACCAATTTTGTTTTAACCAACATTTTCTGCGAGCCATAAAATAATTGTATTAAAAAAGTAAATTTTAAATTTGAAAGTTACTTTGTTACATGGGTAACTAAATTACTACGCCCTTAACACTATGTAGAATGAAAATTCTGAATTTATTACATGTGACTAATGAAACACCTTCGCAATCGATTTAGACTGTTAAAAATTTGTAAACTACATAAATTTATACAATATTTTATAAAAATATACATACATACATATATATATGCACATATAAGAAGTTGAATTTATTACTTTCCTTGTATTATTTTTAACTCATGTTTAGCAAAAGTATTACATACAACTATAGGCAAGATTCTAGAAAAAAAAATTTTCTGAATAAATCCTTTCTCTTTACATTTTCTCTTTACATTTTTTCCAAGGAGAAGATTTAATGTTCTTTCAATTACAATATTGTAATTTCTTTTGCTCCTTCCTTAAGTGTGAATAACTTTGCAAAATAAAATGCTAAGATTAAAATATTTTTTCCCTAGATAGACCCTAAAATTAAGTATTGACGGCATAGAACTGCATACAAAGAATCTTTTATTTATATTCAAATATTATTTCATCATCTTATTCAAACGAAAATTTTATACCTAGGAGCAAGAAAATTGATGTGAAATCTACTGTATTCTAAGTTACTCTTTGAATTTCTTTTGACAACAATCAAATTTTTGAGGTAAAAAATATCAAACATAAAAAAGTTTAAAATATTTAAATATTATGCACTGTAAAGGTTCTCATGATCCGATCATCATTTGTAGTATTTGCACCCTTTAAACAATCAATACTGAAATTCATTTTTGTTATTAGGACTATATCTATAATACTTTTATTTACATAAACCCAAACGCTAACACAAATTATGCATATCTGACAAAATAAACAAAATTTTTTACAAAAACAATCAACTTACTAAAGATAATTACAATTAACAAGTCGAAATGATTCTTCAGTAAACTAGTCTATATAATCATATTACTATACAGTTTTCCTTCAAATGAATAACCTCCTAATGACCCAACAATTGATCATTCAATATTGATGATGAAGCGACATTGAAATTTTACGATTTTTTTTTATCACAACGTATTTTTATGTTATTATAAATAGACCGAAATATTTGTTAACTAATTCAGTTTAATTGAATCTTAATCGAGTGGTCGACGAGCCAGCGTATTAAAAATCGATTAAAAGTAATTAAAAATAAAGAAAAAAGTAGCTGAAAAGGATTAAAGAAATAAAGGAACTTTTAGTGAAATTTCAATCGAGAAAATTTACAGAAAAGGATTATTTCTAGAACCGTTAAAAAGAAGGACTTTTTTTTATCTAAATTCTTTTTAGTAAAACTGAAACTCTCTCGAAGCTACAGTTCTTATACTAGAACGTTACCCACGTCATAAAAGAGTTTTTTTTATAAATCACCCTTGCTTTAGTCGTTGAAACAAATTTTTTGTTATCTACATACACATATCTGAAGATAATATAAAACTACTTTAAAGAAAGTAAGTAGCATTCTAAAATAGAAAAAAAAAGTTAAATCCTTATAACCTCAATTATTGTTACATAACAAAATGTCATTTTTTCTAATAGAATGGTTGCGGCTAAAGAAATGGGTCATATTACCGTCCCCAAATATACATCAGATGCATTTAATAATGTAGAATATGAATTACGTATTTCATATACTGTTGAAACCGATAAACGAATTATGTCATTTGTTGATATACTTTGGGGTATGGAAGTAACTGGAGGAATCGATCAATTCGAGCCTCTTACAATTGTAAATGTAACAAGAGCTGGTTTGGCACGTCGTGCTGGTATGCGTGTTGGTGATGTTATTACTGCTATCAATGATACACCTGCCGAAGAACTTACACTGATGGAAGCACAAAGACTAATAAGAGAATCTGGAAAATATGTTAGAATTTATGTTCGAGGGTAAAATCTTAAAAATATTTTTTAAACAATTTAAACAAAACTACATAATATTTGTATGTACATATATGTATAAATGAATTCATATTTCTTATAGTGATGTCGATCGAGACAGTGATGATGAATTAACTGTAGACTTTTGGTTCAAACCAAGAAAACCATGGAGAAAAGACTTTGAACCAATCAATTGGGTATTCCCATGGAATGATAGAAGAAAACCAGTCTACAGAGAATCAAATTGCTTTATGGTACCAAGTAAAGTTGAAGAATTCGTAAGATCAAAACGTAGTGCAACATCAAATGTTGTTAAAAAACATCAAAGTTTAACACCCGGCAGATCAGTGACACCAATGTTCGCACAACCATCTACCAAACCAACTACATTAGCGCCATAAAAATAATAGCTTTCTAAATATTAATTCATAATGAGCATCTCTAAAAAATCAAAGAAAAATTTATTAAAGAAATAATGTTTCTTTTTGAATTTTTTTTTCCAGTTTTTCGACTAATTACAATAGTCGAAATAAAATGTTTAAAAGACTTTTTCAATTCCATTTACATTCTAATTAGATGTTAAGAATATTTATAAAGAATTATTTTGAATTAAAAAATTTTCAATAAATTATGGCTATAAGAATACACCTACGCTCTTTTACTTTTTAAAACAATTTTTAAGAAAATCTCAATAAATGATTTAAGTAAAACATGGAATTAAAAAAATTAATGTACAATTTTATTAACCATATTTAAAAAAAAATGCGATAAAGGAGGTAAAATTACTGAGTTCATTAAGTCTTATGTGTATTCTATCCTTAATTATAAAGGATAAATTAAAAATCTTTTTAAAATTTCATTGTAAAGATCGCACAGCTTTTCTAGCAGCATCATCTAAATCGATAGCTGTTTCTATTTTTAGTTTTGAATTTCGCAGTAGCTCATTTGCTTGCACAGCATTTGTACCAGCTAATCTTACTATAAGAGGTAGTTTTAAATCTAATTTTTTACTGGCGTTTATAACACCACGAGCAATAGTTTCACAATTGACAATTCCGCCGAAAACATTCACCAAAATTGCTTTGACATTTTTATCATTAGTAAGAATTTGAAAAGCTGTAAAATTGTAAAGAAGGAATTACAAACTGCAGATTTTTAACTTTTATAAACTTTTTTACCTTTAAGAACTTGATCTTCTTTAACGCCACCACCCACATCTAAGAAATTTGCTGGACTTCCTCCATTTAATTTTATAATATCCATTGTTGCCATAGCTAAACCAGCACCGTTTACCAAACAACCAATATTACCATCCATTGCAACATAATTTAAGTTATTTTTTGATGCTTCAACTTCTCTAGGATCTGATTCATCTGTATTTTCCATTTCAAAAATTTTCTTTTGGCGAAATTCTGCATTATCGTCAAAATTCAATTTGGCATCAACTGATATTACTTCTTTTGAATCGGTTTCAGCCAATGGATTAATTTCAATTTGTACAGCATCAACACTTTTGAAAAGATTCCATAGTTTTAAAATTTCAGATGAGGCTTTATTTATCATTTCATCAGTTTTAAATTCAAGAAATTTCGCAATTTTTAAACCTTGTTCCTGAGTTAATCCTTCTTTTATATCTACTGGAAGTTTTAATATTTTTTCAGGAGTTTCTTCCGCTACAGCCTCAATATCGACACCTCCAGCTGGAGAAGCAATAACAACAGGTCCATTACTTTCACGATCCATCAAGATACAAAGGTAAGTTTCACGAATTATATTTACACTTCTGGCTACCATAACCTTTCTTACTAAAATACCTTCTTTTGGAGTCTGTTTTGTAATTAATCTTTTACCGATCATTTTTTCAATTAAATCTGCAACTTCTTCTTTCCTAAAAATAGTTTAATTTTTTACTTTATATTCATAACTTTATATTCATAAAACCTTACTTGTTTGTAATATGGACGCCACCTTTAAATCCATTATCAAAGTGACCTTTGCCTCGCCCTCCAGCCAAAATTTGTGCTTTAACAACATACTCTGGACATTCTTAAAATAAAAAATCATGGCTGAATGCAAATTATTTTTTAAATTATTTTGAATTTTTTTAGTTTCTATACAGTAGTACACGCAGTAAAAGTTTCTAAATGTTTTGTGTAAATTCATTATGTTTATTTAATATGAAAACTGGAACAACAAGAATATTGGGCCCGAAAATGACTTAATCTTGAACAAAATCCAGAGAATATCTAAGAACAATTTTCCTAGAACTGCAGACTTCTTAATTCTTATAAAAATTACTACTATTAACTTACTAAATTCCTTTAAGTCGGAGAAATCTTTTTTTTCATCCAAAACACGAAATTCTTGTATTGATACTCCAGCATTTTGTAAGAGATCTTTGCTTTGATATTCCAAAAGATTCAACGATCTGACTGGCTGCCTCTGAACAATCTAAAATGAGAATACAACGTTATTTGAAAATGAAAGTAAAATGAACTTACTACCTTCTGATAAGCAAAGTAAGTTTGAAAATTGTGTAAACATTGACGATTTAATCGGAACATTTTTTATTTTGTCGTTTTATATCTGAAAAACAGTAACACCAATTAATATTGAATATAAATATATTAAATGTAATTTGTTACCTAATTATAGATTATGAAAAAGGTTATGTAATTCAATTTCTTTACACGAACGCTAAGAGAAAGCTATTTTTAATCTATTTTAATACCAACAAACAATAAAATAAGGCAGCAATATGAAAATTTTTATAAAGTTATTATTTATTTTAATGAAAAGCTAATTCAATTTTAAATAGCGAGTGCGTAATTTGAGATAAGGTTTTTGAAGCCAAAATAATGATTTTCATAAACCTGTTTATTGTCACAAAATATAAATTTTCTAAACCAAACATTTCTTATCAGTAAACATATGATAAACAATTTGCACATGTGGCTTGTAGTTGAAGTACACCGGCCATGTAGTTGGATACAATGTAGCGTTATGCGTATATTTTCATTAGAGTCACATGTACCAAATAGAGTACCAAAACTTCCAAATGAGCAAAAATTTTTAAGCTTCTTTAATACCTTTTTAAAACTTTATCAAATTACTTTTTATTCCACCTACATAATATAAGAGAGTATTTTCCTTAAATATTCCCTAAAAGAAAACCCTTTATAAAAGAGTTAACATTTCCTTAACGTCATTTTATTGTTTATGTCAGCTTCTAAAACAGTTTTTGTACATTAAAAGTTATAAATCTTAAAATAATAAGTTATAAAACAGTTCAAAATGTTATTGGTATAATATTTCACTGATCAAAAATTATTTAATTTCATTTTTTTTAAAAACCATCTTTAATGTTATTAGTATAATTTTGGCGAAAAAAAACTCCTCAAAAGTGGTACTTTAAAAGTTAATTTAATAATTGAAAATTAATGTGATGAAAAATTTATTTTACTTATAGTAAAAGAAGTACTTTTTAAAACAGTCTCAAATATGTCAACGATTAAAACTGAAAACGGCATCACCTTTATATAAAAAAATATTCACCATACTTAGAGCGACATATGTAGATTCAGTATGTAGTAAGATATGGTGAGTTTATGTTGTATAATCATATGTTATTCGCAAAGAAATGTCAACTTGTTATCATCCAAAATCAAAACATTTTATTTTTCCGAATTTGAATTTTGAATACATAAAGGTTAAGAAATTTAACAATTTTTGTATTTATTTTCAAAAGTTTGTGTTATGAGCAGGTCCAATTAACACATTATTATTGCTGATATTTCAGTCTTCGTGGAAAGAACGTTTCTTATTCCACATCTACAAAACAATTGTATGGAAAAAGGGAAGCATGTTCAAAGGATAATGACGTAAGCTAAAAACAATTGAACTTACCAGTGTATATAATAATGCTTTAAAAAATATTTTACTGAATTTAATAAAAAATAGTATTTTCATATGCGTGCACATGTATTCAAAACAATATTTAAATATATAAATAAAAAGACATCATTTGAACAAAAAATCAATTTACCTAAATCGAGGACTTCCAAAAAATCATTTTACCAAAATAGCTTCATGCGTGGCAATAATTAAGGAACATGGATGATTATTACAGCTATGATTATGAAACTTTCGATACATCTGATACAGATGACTATGATGAAATGCTTATGAAAATGCAATATGAAGAAAACTTATCAGAACTTTGGGGCAATTGCATTGAACCTTCAATTACCCAAATTATGCAATACATTATTAAGCTGGTAGGAATAAACTTTTTATGCCGTTTTGGATGGATTGTTTGTAAGTAACAATGTTACTAAGTTTTGGTTTTACATTGCGGATGCATAATTTTTTATGTTAAATTTTCAGTATCATTTTGTCACATTCCTAATGGGGAACATTTAATCTCATTTTTAAGCGGATGGACAGTTCTATACTTAGTTATTGGTTATGGTTACATTTATCTATTATCATTCGGTGTTATCAGTTATATTTTATTGAAGTTTTTAATAAATTTCTTCAAGCCATCAAAAAAAAGTGTAAAATCGAATGCTCAAAATTTTATATCGGACGCAGCAAGTGCAGTAGCCCTAAATGAAAACGATATTAAAAACAAAATTGGATATTCTTTAGGTCTAATTTGTATAATTGGGCTAATAATTTGTGAAATTAGTCAAAGCAATATTAATTTATGGCACCAAATACGTGGCATTCAAATGATTTTAACAATGAAAGCAACTTCACTGGCTTTCGATTTAGACTCAAAAAAGATAATTAAATGTCCAGGAATATTGGAATATTTTGGGTATTTGTTTTGTCCAGCGAATTGTGTTCTTGGTCCATGGATTCCATACGAAGAATACCAAGCAATTTTTAAAGGATCAAAATTTGTATAAACATTTAAATATATTTTAATCAAAATTAAAATTTTAAATTTGCAGAATATTAAGTGGATATTTTGGACTCTAACAAACATTGTAGCTTCGCTAATATTTTTACTATTGTCAAATTGTTTTATATCTTTGTTGGCACCAAGTATAACTTGGAAGTAAGTCGTAAATTCCATCTTCATTAAAAAATGAAAAATGAAATTTTTTTTCAGATGGTTTTCAGCTTATAAAGATGCATTCTCTTTCAGAAATAGTCATTATTTTGTTTCATTTCTTTCTCAAGCCACCATGACAGCCGCAGGTTTTGTTAATCCTATTTCGAATCGAAATTATGAAATATCTCCAATCTTTGGTTATATAGTGACAAAACCATGGACGATTGAACTACCAAAATCACTAGTTCAAATTGTTGTTAACTGGAATATACCAATGCATCGTTGGTTAAAAACATGTAACAAATAAAAAATAATCTTTAGCTGCAATTATTTATTTAAATTGTTTTTCGTTTTAGATGTTTTCAAAGTAATTAAACCCCACAGTACTGCCTTAGCTATATTTATAACTTATCTAGTATCTTCTCTACTGCATGGTCTAAATTTACAATTATATGCTGTTCTTCTATCACTTGGATTTTATACTTTTGTAGAATACAAATTGCGACAAAAATTAGCCAACATATTTAATGCATGCATCTCATCAACAGACTGTAAACGTATTTGCCTTCATGAAAATAAATGGTGTACACCCATTTGCCTAGTTATTAACATATTTTTAAGTTTGATAACGGTCATGCATTTAAGTTATTTGGGAGTAATGTTCGAAGCATCAACTTCAATCCAGGAACAAGGATATTCAATTGAGCATGCTTTAAATAAATGGAAATCTCTTGATTTTTTGTCTCATTGGACTATGTTGTTCTCTTATATATTTTATTTGATAATTTAAAAAAGCATTTTCTTTTATAATGAAATAAGTTCTTCCTATATTAGGAATTTATCTCTACTACGAGTACTTAAGAATTACAAAACCGAAAGTATTTTATTTGCTAAGAAAATTAGGTCTTCAAAACAAAAAAATATATTGTGATTAGAAAAATAGAATTTTATACAAAAATTGTGAATAAATTTTATTTATTATAAAAGATTTTTAATAAAAAATATAACTTTATTATTTTTTAATTCCTTCAGTTTCATTATTATTGTAACTTGCGATAAATATTCTCAAATTCGTAAAGTAACAACTTTAATATTTTTGCAAATATCTCCGTATGGTTGAAGAATTGGATTAACTTCTTCTGAAACAAAATCGATTACTTGTTCACCAGCACGACCAGTAAATGTTTTAGGATCCATAATGCTCTCTAAGTCTTTCAAAATAGGAGCAAAATAAGAATCATTACGAATACGTTCTATTAAATCATTATCCTTGCCATGTAATTTAACTTGTTCACCGGCTGTTTGTGAAAGTACTCGAATTTTTTCATGGCAAACTTGACGATCTCCCCCGGCTTTGACCATTGCCATAATAATATTTTCTGTAGCCATAAATGGAAGCTCTTGTGCAATATTTTTTTCAATTACTTTAGGATAGACCACTAAACCCTGTGTAATATTAAGTAAAGTTAATAGAGCGGCGTCAGCTGCAAGAAATCCTTCAGAAAGTGTAAGCCTTCTGTTAGCTGAATCATCCAAGGTTCTTTCCAGCCATTGTGTGGCATGTGTATTAGCTGCATTTGAATACAAAGATATCATGTGCCTAGCAAGAGCGCAACATCTCTCAGATCTCATTGGATTACGCTTATAAGCCATTGCTGAAGATCCAATTTGACTTTTCTCAAAAGGTTCTTCAAGTTCTTTTCTGGATGCTAATATTCTAATATCGGAACACATTTTATGAATTGTCGTTCCTAAACTTGAAATAGCACCCAATACAGCAACGTCGACTTTTCTTGAATATGTTTGTCCCGTTACTGCGTAAGGACGTTCAAAACCAGCTAATTTAGTCACAAGTTTATCTAGTTCTTTAACTTTATTACTATCTCCAGCAAAGAGTTGAAGGAAGGAGGCTTGAGTTCCCGTTGTTCCTGAATTTTTTAATTTGGATTATGAATCTAAAAATGTTTTCAAAATTGTTTTTTACCTTTTACACCCCTAAATCTTAAATCATCTTTGCAACGTTTTAGAGCTCGCTCATCCATTAATAAATCTTGTAACCACAAGCATGCTCTTTTTCCAACTGTAGTTAATTGAGCAGGTTGTAAATGCGTAAACCCTAAAATGGGTAAATCTTTCCAAGTTTCTGCAAATTCTTTAAGGCAATATATAACAGATACAACTCGTTCCAAAAGAAGAGATAACGAATTTTTTATAATAATTAAATCTGTATTGTCTCCCACAAAACATGATGTTGCACCTAAATGTATAATTGGTGCTGCTAATGGACACTGTTTTGCGAAAACATGAACATGCGCCATAACATCATGCCGAGTTATACTTTCCTCTTTAGCTGCCTCTTCGAAATTTATATTTTCAACATTTTCTTTCATTTCTTTTATTTGAGAATCACTTATTTCTAATCCAAGTTGCTAAAATTTAAGGTTAATAAAATGTGTAAGTATTCCATTGTAAATGTACCTAGATAGTTAAGTAGAAATATACTTTACCTTTTCTGCTTCAGCTAGCCAAATCCATAAGCGTCTCCATGTTGAAAACTTAAATTGGTCACTGAATAAATATTGCATTTCCTTACTAGCATATCTGGTACTCAATGGTGATATGTACCCCGTTTGATTAGAATCCATAGTTCTTGCTTTTTGATTCAATTAACACAAGTGATTCACTTAATGACGATGGGAATAACAAATAATTTATAAAACTAATTTTCCGTAAAAGAAATATAAACCTATCGTGCTCAAAACAAAATTAATATGCACTTTTATATTTTAACAACAAAAACAAGCCTTTAACAGATTAACACCAAATAACATAAACTACTGATAACATGTCAAAGTCAAAACCTTGTGATCTCAGCTGCTTTAAATAACAGTACTGTTTTGAAATAGATAACAAAATTGCAAAAATAAATTAAAATTACTGACGTTGTGCAATATTTATAAATATTTACGTTATTATTATTGTAATCGAATAACATTTTTATTATAAGCCTCTTTTTCTTTAAAAAGGAAAAATTTATCAAAATTAAATCTTCATTGAGTTTGTATGAAAAATTATTTAGTTACCAAGAGATGGCAGTAAAGTTCAATTGATTTGATATAGTAAAAATCATAGAGAATAGAAATAGGAACTGTGGAATTGAAACATTTTTGTGAACAAACATTTTACAGCAGTTTTTAATTTACAGCACATTTGAAACGAATTTGAAATTTCTTGAATTTATTCAAAATTGAAATTTTTTTCTTGCTATCCGTCTGTTCAATACTGATAAATACGTTGTATTTATTAATTATGTGTGTAAAAATAAAATTAAGTAATCAGTAATGCTGAAGGAATACTGTTATACAACAAGAGTATAATTATCAATATTACATAGTTACACAACATAGGGTCAATGCCATTTTATTACTTTCATTACTCTACATTCGTTTCTAATAAAATTCGTTTTGCATATTATGCAAAACTATGTACGTTATGAAAATGTTGAATGTTGCGTACAACAACACGCAAGAAGTCAACAAGCACAAAATTCTCATTTCTGAATTTTTCCGACTTTTTTGTATATCATAGTCCTCTAATCTGTCTATTGCGCTGTAAGCACTCATCTCCTTTTCCACACATATTTTCGAGTAACTTGTTTTACTTAACTTTTATTATTATTTACAAAACTCCCTTGTATGGAGATCTCAATACACAAAAAATATGATAATTGTTTTGAATGGTAGATTTAAAATGATTTCTCAATATTATGAATTTTAACTTATTTACCATTTTTTCAATATACATAATACGAGTATCAATATACATTTATACATTATGTAGCTACATACATACATATGTATATATGTACATAATTTACTTTGCTGTGCCATAAAAAGCTCGATTGGTTAATAGACGAGCGCAATAGTAAATCAACCGGCATTTTTTTGATTTTTTTCTGTGTTAAACGAAAAACCTTAATAACATAATAAGAGAAGCCTTTTTATATTTTAAGCTGAAATTTTTAAAACATAAAAAATGTAATTAAATTCAATAGCCGTTGAATGAGATTTTTAACAAGTATATCCTTGTTTTTCTATTTCCAAACCTTCTATGTTATTTGAAGTCATAAAAATTTATTTTAAAAAGGTTTTTTTATTTGGCTAACCAAGGTAACAAAAATTTCATGTATGTAAATTATAGATATACATATGTATGTAAAGAGATTTATGTACACACAAAACTCATTTAAAGTGCATATTTTAATGTAGAGGGTAAAGAAAAATTTGCACTATTGCTTCTATTTCGAAAATTTGTTCACATATTAGTTATAAATCAATTCGAAAATCAAAAATTTTCATCAAAGTAAATAAATACCATTTAAATGTCGATAAGGTTATTAAGAAAAATAAAAGGTAAAAAAAGAAAAATTGATAAATAATTTTAGAGCTAAACAATTTATTTAATTTTGACTCTCTAGTTTTATATACAAATACAACACACTTTAAAAAAAACTCATATTAATATTATAAATGATCGTGCATCTAAGTAGAGAGATATATAGTTAATTCAATATTACATATATTCACATGTACATATAGCAAGTGTATATTGTATTATGGTGTATATAGTCCTTATACATAGCGCTGTTGTACCTTATACATAGCGCTGTTGTAATAACTTGGAGCTATAATAGTACTAGTGCAGTCAAAACAAATTAAAAATTAAATGAAATTTTATATCGCAATATTACTTATTTATATTTGTAATATACAAACATATACATACATTCTAACATAATATGTGTATTGTATGTTGATTTTACTATTCCAACACATAATCTATACAGCAGTTTATACACCATCAGCTATTCTTTAACGATAGTATAGTTTGGTTACCATACCATATAAAAACAGAATTCCAAAATCGTAAGCGTTTAGCATAGAAATGGAAAGAAAAAATTAATGAAAAAAAACTTCGACACATAAAAAAATAAATGAAAAATAAGAAAATATAAAAACAAAACTTAAAAAACTACTCAGAAAAGATTTTCTTAACTTCTGAGTGTTTTTACTTTTTCTCTTTTTTTTTCTGTTATTTTATTTTTATTTATTTATTATTTTTCCCAACAATAAATGAAAACTTAGTTTTAGTTTACGTGCTAACGTGATCTGATTAAGTTTACTATTTTATAATTTACCGTTTAAATGTGTTATAAGTAAGAAATTATTAAAAAAAAAATTTCATTGAAAATTAAAAAAAAAATTTTAATTCTTCAAGAATGATAATAGATTTTAATAATTAGAATAAAAATATTAAAATTGAATTTTAAAAAAATTATTTTTAATAAATTAAAGTAATTAAAAATGACAATAATACTATCAAAATTATTACAGTAATTTATAACGAAACCGAGACAAGTAATCACGATAGTTTATACGGTTGCGGTATAGGGTTTGTAGTTTTAATCAATATTAGAGTATTCTAATAGTACCTATTGTTTGTAGTTTTAAAAAAATTTAAAAAACTACACAATTGTTAATTGTAGCGCGCAAAATTTTAATTGAGTACTCTTCAAATTTAAAGTACCTTCTCCTTATTTAAAAATAGTGTTATGTATTTTACTATCGTTGTAATTCAATATTTTTAGCAATTTCTATAACCTTTAATGTAAATTCCTGCAATATTTTTATATTTAATTATAAGTTAATTTCGTAAACGAATAACCTAAATAAAAGCTACGAAAATATAATTAAATTATAAAAAAAAAAATAATATAATACAAAAATAACTAATGTAAATTTTATTAATCATAAATGTAATCAATACCTAAAAAATACGTATACGTATATTTGTGTGTATATGTTAATTTTCTTAAGCAGTGATCAAAAATAAATAAAAAAAACAAAAACAAAAAATCAAAATATCAATGATCTATGATCATTTAAATAAATAAGGGTTGGAAATATTTACTCAGATTTTACTATATAAGCGTACGACGGCATAAGTATGATGAGGAACTTATGTTATATAAGTATATTTTATAATTTGTGTGTATATATAAATATTTATATTTAATATACTAACTATAAGTGTAGTTTTTTTTATGTATTTTGCAAGCTTATTTTAAAAATTAAATAACTGTGTTAAGTTCAAGTTTTCGTAAATATTAAAAAAATTTCAATGATCATTTTACTTTTATACTTACATACTTAAATTCTGTTTTCATTTTTATTGTTTGAGAAAAAAATCAATAATGTGGTAGGTATTCAAACGTACCTTTGTGCACCTACTGATTTGGAAGATCAAGTATATTTTAAAGATTATAAATTTGGTATACATATATGAACGAACCGTTTAAATACATAAATACATAAATACATGTATGCATATAAAAAATGTAAACAAAACAAAGTATGGATATGCTCGTTAAAATGATGAAAAAATAAAAATATGTGATTTTTTTCAAAGAAAATTTTTCATTGTTAAAATTAATTTTTATTTTTATTATTATAAACAAATATTATATACTTAAATATTGTATATATATATATGTATATTATGATGAAAGTTAGAAAAAACTTAAAATTATTCATAATTTTTATTAATATTTATTCACGGTAATTAAAAATTAACACCGTTTTTTATATACAAAATTTTACTTAATTTTTAAGTAATTTTTAATATTTTGATAAATTTTTATAATTAAAAATATTACATGTTAGGTATAAATACATATATAATATGTACTTAATTCCTGATCGCATTGCATACAGTAAGGGAGGTTATGTAAGCACCAAAATTGTTTTTGCGGCAAAAAAACAATTCACAATGACAGAGAAACGTAAAAAAAACCCTTTTTACGAAGATGTCGATCTGTCAGTCTGTGTTTGAACTTATGTATATGCAATTTTGGTTAAACTAATTTTGAATAAAATTTTTAGCTGATTCGGCTGTTTTTGGTCAAATTTGGGTACGTTAGACCTTCGTAACTAAAACCTTATAAATACGGGGCCGATCTTATATTTGAAAAAAATCATTTAAAAAAAAATATTTATTAGATTACGTTTAGTCACCGATTTTTTGAGGAAATCGGATGTAACAGATTTTTTATGTTCTGTAATTATATACAGATAAAAAATCACACAAATTGGATTAAAATTTAATGTTTCATCTAAGGGTATGGAAAGTCCAACTTGTACTAAAGACTGATTTTATATTTTTACTATATCATAAATTTAATGTAAGAAATTTCTTGATATAGTATGGAATTTATGTTCTGTTTAGCATAGAAATTCACTGACTAACTTTTCCGGGAATTCAGATGCAGTCGGTTATGTTCTGATCACACCAGATAATTCACGTGTTCTGCAGAGCTTTTTCCGACAAAACTAAAACTTCGAAAAAATCAAAAATTATCATAAAAATTTAAAAATTGAATCCACTTGTACTAAGTAATTATAATTTTAATTATAAAATTTTACCTTTAAGTATGAATAATAAGAATTTATTATTTATTTAAATATCATTCTGTAATCAACAATATTAATTTTTTCATTTAATAAAAATATTTAAATCCTGTTTGAAATCAATCACGTAATGCATTTTTACTCCAAGCGGCCGCCTTACCTTTGACTTTCTCATAATATTAGAATTAGATTAGTACTTCAACAATCATACACACACAAAGTCATATACTCAAAATGTACTCGTCCATTAAGACTTAATCAAAATTAATTATATGAACTTGCATAATTTATAAAACAACTTATTATTTATACATATAGCATGAATACCAAAACTTTTTGCTTGTTTTCAAAGTACAATAGGGTTAAAAGTTAAAGTCATTAATAATTATAAACTTTTTATTATATAGAACGAATGAAATAAGGCGAAAGCAAACGAAAGAAAATTACTTTATACAATATTTTAAAAATTAGACTTGCCGTTTACTTACTTGTTCATAGTTTAAATTTTATCTATGTATAAGTTTTTCAATATCAAAATTTTGTTTTATTTATGACATAAATTTCTTCCACTCTACTATAATATCTTCGAACTAATTATAAATATAAAAATCTAGCTAAAGTAACCTATTTTTATAAATATTTCTAATCTGTTACGTGGTAAAAACGACATCTTAATTACCAAATAAAAGGTGGAATGTTATACATTTAAAGTTCAAGTGTACTTTGAAAAGAACCCCAGCCAGGAAAATGAAATATGTATTTTTTTTTAAATTTCTTTCTATAAGAGATAACCTCAAAAATCGTAAGGTTTTCGATTATAAACTACCAAATTGATAATTTAATAGAATTATAAATTCAATTAATATATAAGAATTGCGAGAAATAGGATTTATATAATATATTATCAAATTAATATGCTCTAATTTAAAAACTTATTCAATTTCATATAAAATTGAATACATATACAAATAGGCAGAGCCAGACTTAAGATATTATTAGTTTTTCAGTAAAATTTATTGTTGATAACAAAATTGGTGCGGAAGCATCAAACAAGGTTTTTGTGTATAATTGAGAACTCAACGTAATTTTTGGTCCTTTCTCGGTTTTCTTTAAAATGAAAGCAACCTAATTATTTAAATGTATTCTCTTTAATTTTTTTTCAATTCAATTCTTCATTTTGATTTATTTTTTATATTCACATATTTCTACTAAAATTAGCAAAATTTTGTGTTGATTTCGGAGCCTGTTGTATATTATATGTAGTGTTGTATCGCAAATTTTCCTACGCTGCAGCCTTTTCAGCCTTAACCCGGCACTGAATACATTCATATATTCATTATGTAAACATATTGACATACACATGCAAGTATATTTTATACATATTACACAATAGAATTTCATTTATATCATAATTTATGTTTTCATTCATTTCTTATTTAGAACTTCTTCCATTATCACATTTATTCCCAATTCGAATTTCCTTTTTAAGAGAAATTTATCTCGAAATACTTTTATATACAAATTATATGTAATTAGAAAAACCGATAACCTTCTCTATTTAAATTTTTAAATTTATATAAACATATATAAGTACATCAATACATGTATACATATTTAGGTACAATGCATTTTTAACTCAAATAAATTGGATTATAATGCAAAATTTTGAAATTGAGAATTCTATGAATGCTAATCATTAAATTTATATAATTATATAATATATTATAAAAATGAAATTTTTCCTTGATAACACAAAAAAAAAATAAATTAAATGGGTATAACAAAATAATGAATTATTTATGAGATAAAAAATTTTAAATACTTAATTAGTTTAGAATTAAAATAAATAAAAAATATGCGTGATATGCTTGTAAAATTCTATGAATTTTTAAATTTTTAAAATAAAAAGTAAGGATTTGAGGAAATAATAAGATATTGCCAAATTTTTTATTAAAAATTTTCCCATTTCAATTATTCAATTTTAAGCTCTTCAAACCGGAGCTATTGATTTTAATTATTTTTTCTTATAATCTCAGGGATCAATCCAGTTTAGCGTTATACTACATCATTATGAGCGCTTAGGGCCGATTGTGTAAAAGTCAAGACAAGAGTGTACAGACGTATAGATATATTATATATATACGTCCTAATATATATATATATATATGTACATATATATTATATATATACATAAATATATTAGGCATTAAAATCGATTTTTGTATTATTTTCATCTGAACTCTCCAATATTTCATTTTATAATGTAAGTAGTACTCAGAAAAATTTAAATGGAATGACTTCTATGTTGAGAATTTATTGCTTATTAATGTATTTACGAATTCTAAAATATATATACAAAATACCCAATAATCTGCATCTTATTAAAATTGTATAGCATCATATTGTCGTATGCGTACAAGATAATACGATGCTATAGAATTTCATGATTGTTACCCAATTCAGAAAAAAAAACCACATTTAAATAAATCTTATTATAAGTTCATCATCAAACAATAAGTTCATAGAGCGCAACTACCATAAAACTTACATCGATATAATTATTTATTATGTTGGACTTACGACATTCTAAGTTTTACAATGTATACACACGTATTCATTCAAAATAACGGGAATTCATGCAAGATGTATATTGCAATATTTTTCTACTTAATTTCATAATTTAATTAATTGCCATCATTATTTATTTATGTATGTGAGATTTTTACTATAAAAACAATATTACAAAATCGTCTACTACTTAATTTATGCACATTTTTACATTATTAATCACCAACAAGAAACAGAAAAAAAACTCAACATAATTTTAAAGAATCTACAAGAAGCCATACTTAAACTTAAAGAAAAACTTGACTTCTCATTAAAAAAATATTACAAAAAAAAATTTTTATTTTTTTTTATCACTTTTATGGCATTAAAATATAAGTGCATAAGTGCTTGTCAACAATAATTTTCATGTATAGTTTC